GACTTATTTAGTGATATATATGGAATACATTGATGTATGGATATGAGACATGGACAATAAGCCAACCAATCATAAAACCAACTCGAGACGGCAGAAATATGACTTCTACGGTGGATGATGAGGACCTCATGGATAAAGATAACAAATGTCAATGTACTGAGTAGGGCTCAGACTGAAGAATGAAGCTGATACTAAAGAGACAATGTAGCTTCTTGGGACATGTACTGAGTAAAAGAGACATCGAATTCCAAGTAGTAACAGGGAAAGTAGAAGGAAAAAGAGATCGAGGAAGACAGACAGACATTTCTCGGCTGGATAGGCAAATGCTTAGACAGAAGAGGCGTAGACATTATTCAATTGGCAGAAAACAGTACTTTATATCATGCTGTGACAGCCAATGTCAGAATCTGACAAAGGTCACTATAAGATGACGACCCAGCTCTTTCGACCCCTTGATGCCATCTTTAGAATTGGGTACTGTTACGAACGTAAAGTTTTTGATAAACGATTTTTATAAACAACTTTTATGGTAAACAACTTTTTTGGTAAACACCCTTTGTATTAAAGTTGTTTACTAACACCTGTTTCTTCGTAAACATGTTTTGATTAACCGAGACGTGTGAACATAGTGGTGCTAACACGAAGAATGGATTGTCAAGGGACACAAGACAGATTACTATAAAAGCTGCTAGCTAATTGCTCACTCAAGTTTTACAGTTTTAGAGTAAGTACTTGTGTTAATCATAGATTGGCACTCTGTCTTTTTCTCTGTTTGATTTCTGCCAGCGATCGCATTGTTAAAGGAGGATCTAGCTTTTCGGTCACCGCAAGCTACCCTAACCAATGCGTAAAAAAACAACAGGCACTGGAACCCAGATCTCGAATTTGGGTTTTACCTTCATAGTGTTTCACTTGCTCTAAGCACAGTATTTCACTTGAATTGTGCAAATTGTGATACCAGCATGAAAATGGGTACACTGGGCTAATTTGACACACTGATAATGATGTTGAACAGACACAAGCCGGAAAATGCCCTCAAGTGCTATATTTAGACTGGGGCTCTCGACCCCAGTCCTCGATTTCGGATTTTATCCATACGTCGTTCATCCATACTAGTTAACTAACGTTTAAAATGAGCATGAAGGTATAGATTTAAATACAATTCAAATCAATTAAAGTATAACACAGAAGCAATTAAAATATTACCCTTGATGCTATTTTTAGAATGTAATACTGGAGCCCAGGCCTCTATAGGCTTCTTTTTATAAATCATTACTATTTTTGGTATGAATACGAAATAAAGTGAATATTAAATCTCTGGATTGCTACTACTCCTCTCAGAGGCCTTCAAGAAAAGCATAGAAGAATTACCTATTGAAGTTTGGAAAACACAGAGGCTAAAAGAATCAGTGCAATTCTTTTTTTTGTTTACTGTAATGAAATTGGAACTAATGCTATTGTTGCTTGTTAAAGCAATAAAGGGGTCAAATTTTCTTGGATGATTAGCCTTTATCGCACTGGCTGCCAGTTTAGCATCGATCGTATCTGAAAAAAACCTATGATTATAACGATTTTCGCCTTTCTGAATATGTTTCAGTTTGAAGATGCAGTAAGGGTACTTAACATTTCTACTACTTCATTTCACAGTCAGCATTTGATACTAATTGTGTGAGACTTTTAGAAGTAGCGAAATGTGAAGGTAACATTTTCCTGTACATGTTGCATTGATTTTCAGAGGCAGGAAACGCATATATATTTATACATATCGCCTTATGCATATATTAACTGCGTTGTTCATAATAGATTTTGGTGATTGATAAGTTGTATGAAGCTACATATTAACTGAGCGATTATTAAACAGTAGATGATTAAATCGAATGAGCTTGGATCTAAGTATCCCTTTCTGAATAGAAAATCTAGGCAGAATTTTATCTCCCCGTGATATTTTAGTGTACCACAAAGTATAGAGTGCCAGACTTTTCATGTTAAAAACAGTAATGACTAATAACTTACAATAGAAAAAAGTCTAAAAAGTGACCTGGGTCTATCATTAATAGCATCTAGGGATAATTTTCTACTTTGTTCTGAACATACTGTTTGGTTAACCAAAAGGTAGACAGCCATACTATCATGTTTACTGTAACATGTAAAATTGTGGGCAGATATACTTTGTGTCCGTTTCCGTGAAGAGAATTACAAGAAATGACGACATTTGGCGGGCGGCTAATCATCTTCTACGTTTTGTCATGCAGTCTTTCCAGGCTAAACTTTTCAGCTAAATCTGTAATACAAATCCTCGGTTCTCCGTGAACCCAAATTAATAGACAAGGCACAGCACAGTCTTTCTCAAGCACTGTCTGTCCTAAATGTACAACGACGAGGCCCAGCGCAGTCTTTTACAAGCACTGCCTGCCCTGGATAAACCTAAACTACAATATAAAATCGACGAGCTACAGGAGACTTCTCAAGCCTCTTGAGCTGAACAGTTAGCAGTGCCGTCGGAACGAATTTCATATTGGGGGGCTGCCCATTGTTTTCCTTCTCATTCAGTACACTGTTATAAAGGAAACATACCACAGTTTGACAATTATTAGGGGGCTCCAGCCCCCCCAGTCCCCCTGTTTCCGACGGGCCTGGTTAGCATCCTTGAATTGTCATACATCAATGTATACAAGGGTAATACATATACATAAGGTTTCGTCAAAAGCAGTGTTCGAAGCTAAACATGAATACAGGATGTGTCTAATCATCCGAGAGTGTAACTTCCTAAATGCGTATTGATTATATGTGTGGGGCAACATTACAAAGAAATACTGATAAGCAACTGTGACTAATGCAAGGAAATAGAATGAATGGAATTGGTGGAAGTCTTAACACGAGATTTGCGTGGCCAGACAAATAGCAGTATTACATTACGTCAATAATAAGTAATGGCTTGAAGAAGAGGCCTAGAACCAAGAACCCTAATCCAAAAATAGGATCGAAGGATAATATTGTTTCTTTGTTATACTTTTTACGTATTGAATCATGTTTGAGCCTATACCTTATCAAGCGTTAGCTGACCACGTATTGAAATACCCAAAATTGAAGAATTGGGTCAAGTGACCAGTCTAAAAATAACACTTGAGGGCAATTTTTGGCATGTGTTTGTTTGGCATTATTAAGAACGTGTCAAATTGCCCAGTGTACCCATCTTAATGCTGGTATTACTATGTCCACAATTCCAGTCAAATACTGTGCCAAGAGCCCAGACTGTTAAACCTACCTCTCTATTAAGACCCCCCCCCCCTTTAGCCCCTGACGACAAACAAAGAAAACATACGCATTGAGTAGCTCTCTTGACGGGTTGAGTGTGATGATGAAAGATCATTTGCATTAACTACGGCCCATTTAAAGATTTGCTTGTGCGCCTTAGAAATCGAGACGAGATCCCAGAGCATTTTTATGATATGTTTTATTTTGAATAATTGAATGATTGAATAATTGATTGATTGAATAATCAATCAATTTCAGCGTGCTATGCTGGTACAAGAATTAATGAATTGACGCACTATTTGGAAATCGTTGGGAGCTTCAGAAAAGCCCAATATGACAATTACTTAATCTTGCACAACATGAACAAACACACCCTTTAATACCAGCTCTCTATGGAAGCAACACAATCACTGTTCAACATGAACAAAATACGATCATAGAATGATAGATATGTAATATACCAATAACTTAATCTTGCTCAACATAAACAAACACACCCTTTAATACCTGCTGTACAGGGAAGCAACACAATCACTGTCCAACATGAACAAAATACAATCATAGAAAAAGAGATATGTAATATACCAATAACTTAATTTTGCTCAACATAAACAAACACACCCTTTATTACCTGCTGTACAGGGAAGCAACACAATCACTGTCCAACATGAACAAAATACAATCATAGAAAAAGAGATATGTAATATACCAATAACTTAATTTTGCTCAACATAAACAAACACACCCTTTATTACCTGCTGTACAGGGAAGCAACACAATCACTGTCCAACATGAACAAAATACAATCATAGAAAAAGAGATATGTAATATACCAATAACTTAATCTTGCTCAACATAAACAAACACACCCTTTAATACCTGCTGTACAGGGAAGCAACACAATCACTGTTCAACATGAACAAAATACAATCCTAGAATGATAGATATGTAATATACCAATAACTTAATCTTGCTCAACATAAACAAACACGGCGCCAAAACTGGATTCAAAACAAATTCTGTGGCGCAACAATACGTCTTCTATGTGAAAATGGCTGTAAAAACTCGAAGGGGAAAATGAATGCAATTCCACAGGAGAATTCTTTTGATGCATCAAACCTATTGCTGACCCAAGAAACTTATGAAAAACGTGGCCGTTATCAGCTACAATGAATTTTGACTTTTGAACAAAAATTACTGCCATTTCCTTAATCTTTACAATATTGTCAAAAAAATTTTCAATGGCGTCCAATCTGAAACGGGCTTAAGTATTTACCGTATATGTATATGTTGTATTTTACTATGTATGTACTATTATAATGTACTATAAGTATATGTAGTGTTATAGTTTCATTATTGGTTATATTTAGATACATGTCATATCCCAGGGGGCAGTCATGTTATACTGCTCCTCCTGGATGCCGTCCTTGTTACGTAGTTTGGTAGTTCGTACGTACTGTTTTAGGTAATTTGTTATTGTAAGTTTTTATACCGAACATATATATATATATATATGTATAAAGAAAATACAATAGCAGCATTTTTGCCAAGTTTAAAATAAGAGCCTTGCTTGTTGTAACTATATGTTTGGACTGGGAAAGTCCGCAAAGAAGGAACAGACATAAAGTGTCAAAATTTATTTCGAAGGAAGTGGGAATGCTCAAGTTCATAGGAGAACTAAATTTCACTGCATAAGACCAAGCTACAGATAACACAGCATTCCGTAAACGGCCTGGTAAACATACCTGGTAGCCAGTAGAGGAACTCATACTTCGTCAGTCACCATTTCATAAGCAAGCTTGTGCCAAAACAGTTGCGAGAAGAAAACAGCATGGAAAGAGCCTACCAAACAAGCACGATAAACCTGACCCAAGGCAAAATAGACTCTTCTGAGTCAAGGGACCAACGTTTTCGTGCAGAAACCCGAACTACTGAATTCCTTCTTCTCTATTGTTCCCAAAGGCATCAAATACAGCACAAAAACACTTAATACAACAATTAAAGCAATGTAATCAAATTCTACGAAATCCCTTGTGAAATTAACTGTGATGAATTTCATTTGATCAGCTAAAAACGAGACAATGGAGCACAAAAACGCATAGACATTCGATTTAAAAATCTAGAAGGGTGTTCGACATTGATGTTGAATAACAGCTCTTTAGAAGAATGAAATTTGAAAGAATAAAACATAACAAAATTACGTCAGTTTACTTACAATTAGATTCCCATTTGATGAATTCATTGACAAATTATTGCATCGCTTCTCGACGTTCGCAGAGCTCGTACCTATAGCTTATTATCGACCTGGGCATCTTATGTTCCTGTTCGACCCGCTTGTGTGTCGGAACATTGAAATTTGTATGTGTATCTTCCGCTCGATCCATACCACAATTTTATATTTTTATTGAAACATTCAGGTAAAATCTTTATCTTTCTGGTTATTGGTAGGAGCAAAAAATTTAGTGTAATTGATTGCTTTTTACATTGGGGAAAATGTAATCCGCAGAATAATGTAATCGTTACCACGCCCTCAGATTCAGTTCAGGTTTATCATGAGGCCCTTCTCAAAATTAACTGCCCAGCCCTGGTTTATTGGCTTATTCTGCCAAAAGATTGACGGCCTTATTCAGCGTCGTTTCAATCCGAAATGATAAATCACCTTCGTTGATATATGCATAAAAAGATAATGAAAGTGAATAAACAAAATTCGAAACACATTTGGCGAACAATGCGCTCCGTAACCTTCTCTCTCTATTAAGCTCCCATCTCAACGATGTCCTTAAAGATACATTTTCGGGAGCAAATGAACTTTTGGTATGGTAATAGTGTCTGGTACTTTCTCTTTTGAACGTCGGTTAGTTTCTGAACTTGATCATGTTTGTAATATCTACAACAAAGTCAACTTTTGGCTTTGAGTGCTGAATCACTGTTGATTCATAACACAATCTTTAAGCATAAATTCTTTCACTAAAGAAAAAATATTATGATTATCATTATGTTATTCAAACTTTCTGATTACTTGAACGTCTTTGTAATATTTTCCTTGATATATTTGTATCAAAAGTTAGTATAGAAAAGAATATTGAGTTTTTCTGTAGCAACAGAGTCGAAAGCTTTTTTAAACCCTTCAATGAAGAGGATTGTTGATGGTATCAACTTGCTTGATAAAGCATGATCATGAAGTATGATTGATAAAGGCATTTCTTTAAAAGATGAAGCTCTTTAGTGGCTTTTGTATTCTCTGTTGCTAATCTATGCATTACAATGGAGTTTTAAGAAAATTTTGCTTTTGGTGGAAACTTGCTTTCAGCATTGAGCGTAAATCTTGAAATTGAAGATCTTTTCCGGATTGGGCTAGCTTTTGGATTGCACTTTGTTGTCGGAAAAATAAGATAGGAATTTCTTCGTCTAAAAGAATCATTTCCACTCCATCTTCAAATGTTTAGCTTTCGAGCCGTTTATTGAACTTTAGAGCGATCTTATAAGATACTATGGTTTGCAGCTCACTTCTTTAACCTGTCCCTGTTCCTATTTCTATGAAACAAAAATGAAACTTGAAAAAAACAAAAGAAAAAAGAACCGGTAAAGCATAGGCGTACGGGCTTAGTTCAGAGAGGGGGGAGAGGGCTACTCAAATTATTTTTGCCCGAAAAATACTAATGTCCATATGTTTAAGTATCCTTTTACGCATAAAATTTTCTAACATTAATCAAAAATGACTGGCAACGTCATAATGACTCATTAACACGAGGCTAACTAATTAGCATTCTTAAAATCATGACACATTACAAAAATAGCTTTCGAGTTTTCATTATAAGAAATATATATCGAGTCTGCGCGCAGGCTATAAAAGTACGAATCTCTCCCACGACGGTGACCAAATATATCGATTATTTCGATATTTTTTTCGAGAACGTGATTTGAATATTAACGTTCGATATCAAAGAGGGCGACATTGTCAAGTCTTTGCTTTGTTACGAAGGTATGTGTAACGAAGATGTGATGTTACGAAGATATATTCTTATGTATCTAAGTGAGCCGAATGTTCGTTTCGCTGAACATAATGCTGCTGTAATAATGGCAAGGATTTGTATCCTTTCAGCAAATTGTGGAACTAAATCTAAAACATTGTCATCATGCACAGGGCTGTAAAAAAGGGGGCCTCATGGGGCTAAGCCGCCTTCTTCTTTTAGAAGGGGACTGCACCCCTTCTTCTTTTTCTGGGTAATTCTAAAATAACTTGGCTACTTTCCGCCAGGATCAAATTTTTGATTGAATCGATTTTACTTCTTGACATTTGCATTCTTGTGTGACCTAAAAATTCTTCTTAAAAACTGAAAACTCGATAAATGCTGAGAAAGTTCTACTACATTAAATTCTTTATTTTTAAAATTCTTCTACGCAAGTAACAGGTAGATATTGAAGGATGAATTAATCCTAGAAAATGGAAAGGTAGATGAATTGATATTGAGGGACTATGCAAACAACTAAAACGTTTAATATTGAGAAAGCTCTATGCACCCACCCCTCCCCCTTTCTGCATTTTTTGGGCACTACACTACTGATCATGCATCTTTTTAAGCAATCCATGCACTTTTTTGCTTCATTTATTTGATTTGCAGAATCTATTTGGTAGAAGAAGCAAAACTTTATTATGATTTTGTTGAAAGGCTAGCATTCGAGTTTGCATTCCCTAATTCCCTTAGGGCCTACGAAATAGGGGCCTAAGCTGTTTTTAAATGTATATTTGTAAACCTCTAAAGCTCTTCAACTGAAGCTCTTTAACTCGGCTCCCCCTAGCTAACTAGAAAAAATCCTCATTTTTACATTTTGCTATTGTATTTGACTTGTTCTTCACATATAGATTGGATTTTCTTGCAGTCTGTTAGTAGGTGTCCCGTAGCAGATTCTTCCTTAGAGCCTCAAATGCTTGATGCTTCCTTTACGCCATTGTCAAAAGCACACAAAATTTCCTGATCATAATAGACAGTAAATTTTGCATAACAATCTAGCAACCTAGCAACCGAAATTTTTAAAGTTTAACATAATAAGCACTAGTCAGCAGAGAAATAGAGGTGAGAGGCTCAGGGGGCCAGGGGGCAGCTCCTCTTTTTAAAATTTTCGAAAAATGTTGGGGGGGGGGTCAACTTCCTTCACATCGTTCGTGCATGGATATAGCCAAGAATTCTGTAACGCAAAGAAAGCTGTGAAGAATTGTTACTTCATCACATGTCAGATATTGGCAATTAAAAAGAACAACTGACAGATTCAAACGCATTGCAAACTTCATATGCATGAAAATATACACAAAGTACTTCATATATAGATAGAAAATCTCTATTTGTTAGCACAAAAGAAAATTTGTCAATTCAAAATCCAACCATTGGGTCATTAATTTTAAAAAAAAGTTCTTCCTTATCGATGCTATAAATAATTCATATACATGTTCTGGCCATTCTTGAAATGACATATCCCAAAATTTCTCTCGCCGCCAAGCATGGTGGCGGCATTCACTAGACCCCTGGCCAATGTAAACATTTTACCCCCTCACTTGCAATGAAGTTTCATCCCACCCTTCCCGTCGTATCAATGTTCTGATCTCAGCTACCCCTCAAGACAATCTATGTACCTGGTTGCTCAACCAATGATCGGAAAAACATTAACCCTCGTCATGTTTAAGGCGCAATCATTACATGGCAAGAACAATTTACAACTTTCTTAGAGCCCCTCTTTTTAACATTTTACGTTCAGGGTCCATATCCAATCATTCTCAACGTATCAAACTGACCCTTATTGCAAGGTTTCATGCTATTGTGTTGTGCCAATGTAAGACTAAGATACGATAACGATAGTACTATCAAAAAAGGTCTAGGACATTGTACACCAGTCTAAAATAGAAGAAGGGGGCAATTTTTCAGTTGGGGTCCATATCCAATCATTCTCAACGTATCAAACTGCCCCTTATTGCAAAGTTTCATGCTAATATGTTCTGCCAATGTAAGACTAACATACGATAACGATAGTACTATCAATAAAGGTCTAGGGCATTCCACACCCGTCTAATATAGAAGAAGGGGGCAATTTTTCAGTTGGGGTCCATATCCAATCATTCTCAACGTATCAAACTGCCCCTTATTGCAAAGTTTCATGCTATTGTGTTGTGCGAATGTAAGACTAACATACGATAACGATAGTACTATCAATAAAGGTCTAGGGCATTCCACACCCGTCTAATATAGAAGAAGGGGGCAATTTTTCAGTTGGGGTCCATATCCAATCATTCTCAACGTATCAAACTGTCCCTTATTGCAACGTTTCATGCTAGCATCACAGTTTGCACAATTTGTCTGAAAAGAGTGACTTAACAGCTTTGACTAACACCAATAGAAATGTCTTTGACGAATTTCTAGATCACATTTTGCAAAAACCAATTTGGTCATTTCTCAAAACCATTGTCCATGGACTTGTAAAAATTTCAAAAAGCTGAAAATTTTGCAAAATATTTTCCCCTTGAAGAGAATCGAAGTTCTTTAGACCGGCAAATCTTTTCCCAAGTCCTGCTGTTCACTATATTAACAATAGAAATCTTTCAGTCAAGTCTTTACTTCAATCAAAGCAGATTTTCTCTCTAAAAGATAGTTTTTTTATGTTACAGCTTTCTGTGACGAAAGACAATGCTATACCCCAATGAAAGCACACTTACGTGACAAAAGTATTAGGACAATGAATAACAACAAAATGGCGTCTCCAAACTAGTATTCTAACATTGATTGAACAAATCTTGCTGTTTTGGAGGGGTTCTAGAAATGGTGTCAGCAAAAATGCAAATCCTAGCAAATTCGATTTATTTCCTACCTTTCTATGATAGAAAAGTAACAAAATGTCAAGGAAAAATGGAAGATTTCAATGTTTTAGTTTCAATGCCGAAAACACAAAAACGACCAGAAA